GTCCCAAAGAGATATTAATTGTTTTCAACCTTTTACCGGTTAGACTTTTTTCCTCTTCTACTAACTCCAGTATAAATAATTAATCTCTAATTATATCCTAAAGGTATTTATTTGAGAGTAATAATACCTAATTGTATGCTAAAGATTTGTATTAGAAGCTAATGCATTTCTAATTGTACCTTATAAAGAGTAATCCGGGTGTATTTTAAATATTTCTCACACAATTTTTTTCAGGGTACGTGCTTCACAAACCCATGAGACATGCACGAGCGAGTATAATTTTTCCACACTATATCACCTGGAGATTATTTACCACATATTATTGGCTATATCATTCTACTTTTCATATATGTATGTATTGTATACGTGCCTTCAGGTAGCTTGACACCATTTCGTTGCCACCTTCTGTTTACATTTTACTATTAATTTTCTTTGTATGTAAATCTTTATTTATGGATTGCACATTAATTTCCATTAATTATCCATGCGCACCCCTTTCTATTGACTCGTGGGTGGTCGCGCTTTGCAGTTACTCAGTTGCATAAATATGGTTACGGATTAACGCTTTTCAATGCTAATGAGCTGCGTTGATCATCAGCATATTTATTGAGCGAAGAAATAAATCTAAAACGATAAATTATGAAGGTTATGCAAACTACATACACCTACAATTCTATTTCTACACGGTAGATTGATTCCAAAAAAAATCGTATGCAAAAATAGGTGATTGTTTCCTTATCTTTAAAATTAGTGAAAAACAAGGATTATGTAAAACAGCTATGTTGTTAACAAAAAAAAAATTGGGTATTTAATTAAGTGAAACACAGCCCTGAATATCTTCGCAAATTTTGATGGTTTCAAGTGTACAGACTATGAATTTATCTTGAATTTTTTTAATGTGATAATGAAAATATGCAAACAGTTATTAGGTAATTAAACGTTCAGATATCTTAACATACAGTCTATAAAGTCCCTTTTATTCAATGAAAATCCCTCTCTGCGTTTCAAAAGTAATTGGCATGTTCTCAGAAACAATAATGTCGCTCAATTCCCAGAAATCGGTATAATCTACCAGTGGAAGTAAATTGGAGTTATAAAAGAAATTATCTTAAAAAAATTCTTATTGAAGTATAACATATTTTTTTTATAATTTTTTCTCTGTTTACTTCGATGTATCCTTATTTTTGAAAACAAAACTGATATTATAATTATATCTGCTATTTTGTTTATTAATTTTTGTAATGAAAATGAAAATAAGAATTTAAAAATAAACAAGAGCAAATTTGAGAAAATAATTCATAAAAATGTCTTGTGTTTCTGTTAATTTGTTTAAAGAAAATATTATTTATTTATGAAATATGCAGTAAGAATGTACATAAGTACTAACTCATTTAAAAACAGCTTAGTCTTTCTAGTTCCAAAGAAGGTTATTTCTATCTCATAAATCTTCAAATGATTAGTTGATTGAATTTGATTGATATATGTACATTTGTATATTGATTGATGTACAAGTACATATGTATTTAAGTAAGTTATATTAATGAATAAGGCACTATTAACAAAAAAATTTCGAAAATATTGATTAATCATTTTTTTAAAGTAAAGAGACCATATCTTCATTAGAAATTGCAACCGAATTTAAAATTATTCAACTGCTTTTCCATCCGCAGAAAAAAAAATTAAATTTTTCTCTAGCTTACTGTTTAAAAAGTGACACACAAGCGACAAAACCTTCTGCAAAGAGCTTGTTTTGAGTAGGTTTTTTAAATTTTGTTCCAGTAACCTACATTTTTTAGCAAAACATCACGTGTTTCCTTTCAAATTGTTCCCAAAACGTGAAATTTTGAAATAATCGCGCTGCCTCGCCCAGCGTTACATGAGCGAAATTTATCCAACACCGCAACGCAGTTCAACTTTTTTCCGAAATGCTCCAGAGTAATTGTTGTCATTGCCGTATTTTTATACTCTTGCAACATGTTGGTATAGAGTACAATAGTTTTGTTCACCTAACTGTTGTTTGTATCACCTAAAAATAATCCAGTTAGATACATATAGGGTTCTACTTATGTATATAAACGATCAGGATGGTGAGACGAGTTGTAATCCTAAGGACTATCTGTCCGCCGTCTGTGCAAGCGATAACTTCAGTAAAAATTAAGGTATCTTAATGAAACTGGGTTCACGTATTCCTTGGTAAAAAAGTGAGGACGAGTTCGTAGATACGCAGAATCGGGCTACTGCCCCGTCCACAAAACGCCATTAAACGAAAACCTATAAAGTGTCATAACTAAGCACTAAATAAAGATATAAAACTGTAATTTAGTACAGGGGATTGCAGTAGCATGGGCATTTGTGGACTAGAAATTTTAAAAAATTTAATAGTTTTTATGTACATATCTCCTAAACAATTAAACCTACAATAACTAAATTTTCCGAGCACAAATCCTTGAAGAAACTCTACCGACAGTGTGAAAGGTCATAAGGTGGCAAACTTCAAGGGCACTATTCAAGCAAAGTTTTATTCGGATATATTGATTTGTTCTTGATTTGTATACTAGAAAGTGAAAGCATCAAATGTACTTTAAAACTCTGTTATATGGGAAGAAGCCGTGGTTTCCGTTCGATTTCCCATTTTCGCACTGTAACATAGAAATATCAGAATAATGTTACCTACTGAAGTTGGTTGAAATCGGTCGAGCAGGTCCCAAGATATGGGGTTTCATATAAAAGTGGGCAGATCCACTCCCAACGTTAAATTTTGACAACGGCTCCTATAATGCCTTCTCTTATCATCTCAGGAAGTTATTTGAGAATAGTTGTGACTGTAATTCGATTTTCAAGGTGTAACTCCCATTGGATAATTTTAATATCTATGCAAATGCAAATCTACTCTTCTATTTATAATTCTGTATCGAATGCTTTTTCATACATTTTCAGACTGTGTAAAGAAATGGTTAAAATAAATACCTTCATATTTAGTTATGACCTCACAAATGTAATCCTCTGATCTTGTAGCATAATTTATATATTATTTGAAGCGCTTTATATTATAAATAAAAGTTTTTCCTCCTGAGAGTGCCAAGGAATACATTTATCAAGTTTTATCAAGAAGTACGGGCAGGGACAGACAGACATCACGAAATTGGTTCGCCTCGTCGTTCTCATCTCTTTGATATATAATACATACATAATCGTGTAATTATCTCGATTAGTTAAAAATAACCGTTTTTTTTCAACTGATTTTTTATTTGTTGCTAGTGTGGTATGGATTTCTGTAATCAATAATCAGTTGTATATAAAGAATACCAAAAAAATTATAAGCAAAATCGAAGTCAAGTATAATATCATCGAATATAATTTTTATACCATATCCTGTTTTTGATTCGTCATTTCTCAGCTTGCTTTTGCTCTCTTGTCAAAAAAATTACACGTAAAAGCAATAACAATAATGAGTTGAATTCGTTCAAGAGAGAATATGTGGATATCTCATGAAAGCAGTATAGCCACTACCTTCAATACTACAAAGTTTTGTTTTGCATATCTTAGGTCAATTTTATTGCTGTGAATGGTTCAAATGACAAATGAAAATCCAAACTTTCTTTCCCGTATTTTTAAAACTTAAGACTTTAAATTAATTATAGTAATTTATAGAAAAATAAAAGGAATGGTCACAGCAACGTTTTTAACACGAAACAATTTTTTTCTCCATTAAGAAAGAATCATAACACCATTGCGCATGCGTAAGAACATATCTTAGCGCAGGGTTGAACCACACATGCTGCCCGTTTGTTTAAGCATCGGGAATAGTTTCTTCGATTTGCTGAAAAGTAACGCTAGTTAGACGGCGTTCACACACAGAATCTTTTGAAACCCAAACCGGTTTATTGTGGGCGAGGGGACGACGAGGAAAGACGAAGGGACCGTGCCACTCGTGTTCGGGTGGCACGCTTTGTGTTCTTGTTCGTAACAGCTCGCTGCTACCCTTTTCAGCATTCTTTTTCACTTTCAAATTCTTTGAATGGTTGCAAGAGCGCTCGGTTTCAAATGAATTCGATCGCAAATTTGAATTCTGTTATCTATTTTTTGTATGTAATATGCAAATATTATATATGCATAGAATAATAGAAATATTTTGAAAAATTGTAAATAAGGAGAAAATTAAGATATAGATTATGGAGTAAAGAAATTATGAATTTTTAGTACTTAAAGATTAGGAAATTCCTATTATAAATTTGGCCTTGAAAATATTAGTAGCGGATATTCAATACATTCTGGTGGATTAGGGAATTTCCGTCTTAAGTATTTCTTTGAAACTATTAAACGGGTAGGTATTATGCATTTTGTTCTACCATATTCATGGTAATTCATTGCAAGCATAATGTGTGACCATCATCTCAACATACAAATTAAATATGCAACACGCTCTAAGTGTTGCGTAGTCGAACCGCACAAATATTTACGAAAATTTTGTGAAAAGGAATGCAGAAAAACTAGACTCGAGTTGCTGGACTCTTTTTGACCGTGTGAATGTACAGAGCGACACCAAAAGAGAATTTGCCGCAAACGAGGGTCAAAAGAATCTGTGTGTAAAAGCCGACTTAGAAGACACAGAATAGGAAGCGATTATACCACTCACTGTTTTGAGCCGTTATGCTAACCACTTTATATATGGTATACTTACTTCCACATACTTTTCATTAGTTTCGTTGTTAGAAATTTCATTATTAAATTGAATTGATAAATTATTTATTAACGAGGACAAGGCGAATGATGATCAATGGAGACTACATCTATATTTGATGAAGAATTCAATATTAGTACCTTTAAGCGTATTTCAGTTGTATGCCTCCGAGCAAAGATCCCCACTAAATAGTTAATAAATAATGATTAATCGTAGCAGCCGCAGCCAAGTATTTAAACTGCACATATACACAGCTTAAATGTTCATATATATTAGCTTAAAAGCTTTAATATAAATCTTGTGCTCTTTTCCATTTCAGTTGTATGACTCATATCTCATCAAGCAAATCATCTTTCTGGAGGGATAAAACAGGTTCTTCGACTGTTTTCTATTCAATGTTAATGCAATATTACGCTACCAAATGAATAAAAGGTATGTGTGTAGAATTATTTGTATTTTTTATTTATTATAAGTATACGTATTTCGGTGAAATTTTCACTGTTGAGATACAAAGTTTTATTATTAATTTGTTAGAAATGTTTAGCATAATTTATGTATTTTAGGAATCCTAAGAAAAATTCAAACCATCTGATATCATAGATAGACAATTCATGTTATGCTGATATATATAAGAACTATGTATATTCCTACGCTGAATACTAACACACACTTACTTTTCATTCGTATTTGCAATATTTTCATTCTCTTTCATCAGTTGCGCAAGGGTATAAACGTTTTGTTCATCAAACACCTGTTTAGAAGAACTAAAAATAGTCGTGATAAATATCGGATGATCGAAATGATCGGAATGGGTAGCCATTTGTCCTCCGCCTGACTCGGAAATATCTTGAGGGAAGCTTGGAACTATGTTGAGACTGGAAAATATGCGGAAAAAACATAAAAAGCTATAACTGCGTAAAGATAAATTATTTATGCCCTGAACTATATTTAGTTCGCCATGAAGAAGGAAACGTCAGAAACCCTATAAAGTATTAATATAAATGATCAGCTGAGCCGATTTAGCTATATCCGTCTGCTTGTCCGTCTGTCTGTATATATGCGAGCTAGTTCCTCAGGTTTTGAAATAACAATCTAAAAATTCTCCCCAAGAAGCTGCTCATTTAAAAGAATCGCCAATATCGGACAACTATAGCATATAGCTGCCATACACACTGAACGATCGAAATTAAGTTCGTGTATGGAGACTTTTTTAACTGTCTTTACTTTATTTGTGTGTTTGGGGGGTATTCTAGCTTCGGTGCAGCCGAAGTTAAAGTTTAAGATTCATTCTTACAATAGACATTTTAACATATACTCCAAATGTTTAAAAATAAACAGTTTTACTTTCAGTATACTAGGTTTAGTAACGTCTCTCAAATTACATTATATCTTGATGGAAGCGTTCCCCTGGTTCTTCTAAATAAGTTCACATTTTGTCTTTAAAATTATCTTAATGATAATGTAACATGTGCATCTTTAGAGACATTCTACAACGGACGATGGAGAAATTCGAAATCATATCAGTGATCAGCTCGTCATAATTGTCAGCCCTGTGGTTTTCAAGGGAACCATCCACTACTGTCTTGAAACTGTTGAGTAACTTCGGGAAAGAGTCACAATCTATTTTTTTTTTTATTTCAGGGCCTACAAAGATTCCAGCTTTTATTTTAGTCTCTGAAAGCTGTGCAAAAAAATTCTTCAAATATTTGAAATCTTCGGACTCACGACTAAGAGCTTTTACAAATTATTTAAGAATACCCAAAATAATTTGCAATGGCGGCACTAATATAGTTTTGGGATCGGCAATCGCCTCCCATTTAATACTGCATTTTTTCACATCCTAATCAGTACCTACCGGCCCATGTTTTTGGCAGTAGTGAGCAGCATCATTCCCACTATCCTACAGCCAAAGATAAAAAGAGTATTTAGTATCCACACCTTGGATCCCAGCCAAAATACATACCATCTTGAAGGCTCCAATAACATCTCGCTTTTATTCTACTATATATGGAATGTGCCAATGGAATGGGAGGAAATTTGATCCCATTGTGTAGTAAAACTGCTTTTAGACTTTTTGTTGAGCTATCAATAAAAAGGCACCATTCAGTTGTATAACAAGTAATACCAATTTCTTCAAATAAACCTTTTCCTAATGAACTCCGGAACAGCTGGACCGATTCCAATGAAATCTTCGTACGATTTCCAGGATAGCCCAGCGAGTGATCCTGTAAAGTTTGGAGCCGGTTGAAATAATATTTTTTCATGTCAATGACATTGCTGATATGCTATTGCTTTTATAACACCATTTTGTTGACACGTGAATTGTGTATAATAAACAATATAGAAGTATAAACAATATGACTATGGTAATTTAACTAAAATTACCGCGAAAAGTGAGGCATTACTAACAGATGAACAAAATACTATTTACAATCGGATTAGGTTAATTGTTGCTCGGAATTTTGAAATAGAACTGCAACCAAATACGAAATGTCCTATACTGCCAGATAATTTCGGGCACTATTATACACGGAAAAAAATAACACACAAAATAGTTATTTAAATCATAACTGGCTCGGTAATCGGGCTACAAGTGTATTGACAGCAAAAAAAGCCCAAATTAATTTCAATAATAATATTTTCACTATACCATATTAAACAGCTCACTCAAATGTAATTTGATAATACCTTTTTTTTGTTGATCTGTGTTATCTGTCAAATTTTCACTTTTTGCGTTGGAAAGGCCAATGAAACTTCAACTGAAAACAGTTGAATTTAGTAATGCCAAAAGAGAGTTTGGTTGATCTGAAGTTGAATTGCTTTAACTTCAAATCAACTGTGGAGTTGAAAGCCGTAATTGGGGTATTAATCATATTATATTCATAGACCAAAGTAAACGATTTTTCTTGTTTTTTGTACATTTTTATTACTTACAAAGCACGATCATACATCAAGTTTAGAAGTAAATATTTCGTTATTGCAATTTTTTTTGAGTATTTAGTGGATCTGTCGCCAGCCAAGTTTGGTGACTAAGGTGGCAATGTGTTTATGGTAATATGGTAATGGCCAGCAAAGCTATCATGTTTGGCTAAGTGAGAGCGTTATTACCACCATTAAATAGCAATAAACCCGTCAGTTAAATTAAAGGAGAAACAAAAACAAAATTCCAACAGCGGACTGGATTTGTGCCACACAACTCGATCGCTAATAGTTAAGCGCACTCACTTTGCGATTTGAAATCACGACTTATCGCAGCAGTTGTTGTCGTTAATGTTTGTTGCTAATTTCTTTTAATGTACCTGATATGCAGGTATGTATGTATATAGACATACCGGTTGTAGGTATAAACAGTAGCTATGCACAAATAGTTGTATACTCAAGGCAAACAAACGCAGGTCCTCCGGAAACTGAGTAGCAATTAGAATGGGCTGTGCTGGAAAATTTAAATTTCATGTGAAAATCGGTTAAAAATTGTATGCTCAATTTGTTGCAAGCTCTTGCTTTTACTAACAAAATATTTGTGAGTATGTAAATACCAACACATGCACAAACATGTTTATTTGGTTATGGATACTCATTAGGTTAGGTTCATTTGCGGCATAAGTGCGTGCACTGACGCAGTGGCATAACTGTGGGGCAGACGCGTAGCGCAAAAGTTGCACATAGTTGTTTTTGTCATGCAAACAAATATGCAGTTTGTTCATAAAAGTAATATTAGCGTGTTTACTTCATAAAACTGTGAAAATTTTAGTTGGCAATAAAAATGCGCTAAGATAAATTTGCCTTATGGGAAGGTTTGTAAAAGAAAGCTAGGTTTACTGCTCGAGTTTTCATGTGAAAATTTATCTGGAACGGTGTTAACATACTTTTTTAAGGCGCTTAAATCCGTTCGGAGGCGCACCATAGTCTAGTATATGGATGTCGAACACTCTGTAGTCTCGACACATGTTCCAAAAGTTTAGACTGTGTTCACACGAGAAACATTTTGTCGATCATTATCGACTCTTTTAAAGTCACTCATTGCGTTCACGCAAGTCCGATAATTTAAGTCGGACAATTTTCTGTATCCCTTTCATGTTACATTACATTCTCAAATTCTTGTAAGCTCACGTATGCGGTTCACAAAAATATTTTTGAATTTTGATTGATTACTGATTTGATTTTTGATTATCAATTTTTTTTAAGCTATTGCATAGCTTAAAGGGCTTTGAGCACGGCGACCTAGCACGATCAGTATCCGCAAAATGTTAGCATACTTGTAGGCGTATTTCCGCATATCTCAAGCGGAACAAATCAATTGAAAAGCAGTTTTTTATTAATAAAAAAGGGTATTTAATTAATAAAAAATAAATTATTCAATATTCGGAGTCATAATATTAGTAACAATATTATTATTTTGGTAAATAGCCAACCCATCTTTTGGAACAGTATCTCGTTTGACTTGAACAATACATTTGAAACTAGGTATTTCAACCGAAATATCAATTGTAATAAATTTCCACTTATCTTGGCTGGCGATTTCAACATCAACTTCGCTGATAATATATCAGAGCGGTTGACAACTTTTCTTTTGGAAAAATTGAAATTGAAATTGAAAATGAAAAATTATTAACAAGAATCCACAACAAAATATGGGACCACCACTGACAAGGTATTTTATAGATATTTAGAGAAATCAAGTCTCAAACTTACGTTTCTTATTTCAGTAACCATATATAGTTCATAGTTCTATAGTTTCAATGATAAAAGCTCCTGAATAACCTACATGCATTGTAAGATAATAAAAATAGTTTAAACAATATTAACTTCTCATTTATTCAATAAAAAAAGCAAAAAAATTGTTTTCTTATCGAATACCACGCACAAAAAGTGTAACTTGAATTAATATCAAAGAAAAAAAAATACTGCATAAAAAATTAATAAACAATTATAATTGCATAAGTTGATAAAAAAAATGTTATGCAATAGCTTTACCACCGCATTCCCCGAGTGCCACACGTACTTTTTTGTTTTTTTTTTTATCCGAACCAACCGCCACTCCTTTCAAAATAAAATTATCTTCTGCATATTGCTCAATTCGATAAAAGATAAATGAGATGGTGATGAGTTAAATTCCCCCATTCAATTATGAAATCAGCTAAGTGAACGCTAAAACGCGATACATAAACAATAACAAGGCTTCCCATAGTCTCTTTTTGGCGTTAAGCAATGAGTTTAACATATTTTAATTTCACTTTCGCACTTCTTTCAACTGTAAATGTCAAAAAGTACATCAGCATCTTTATAAGTTTGCTCTCATATGCACGTTTATAAACAGATATTTTCCAATTTCTTTCTCGTTACTATACGAGTACATACGTGTATGTACTATGCATGTATGTTGTTTCCTTGACTATGCTCTTGTACCCTGACATTGCAAGAGCACCCAGGCA